GGATGAAAGAAGGGACACACGCACCACGGCAACCAGGTGGAATCCAAGAGAGGCTGCGGGCTACTTGATGGTGTATGTAGAGCTTGACTCCCATTCCCGCGGATGTCTGGAGCTGTAAAGATGAGTGTCTTTCTCTCTATCGCCGGGTTAGTGGAAGGCTTTCCCAGGTGGGGAGCAGGGGTGCTGTTGGTCAATATCAGGTTCTCTCCATGGGAGGGGGGGGTGTGGGTGGTGTTGGTCGGTGTCCGTGGTTGCAGACAGTTTTTGTGTTGTCTAGGGCAGCACAAAACCTAAATACACCACTGGGTAAAGGACATTTAGGCAGGCTGTGACTTACTTCTTAGATCCCACTGTCTGGTACATACCTTCTGTTCCCAGTGTCCTTTTTTTGGCTGTAAGGGGTGAATGGGAGGGGAACAGAAGCTGTGTGACTTGCTTATGAGCCAATCATCTGTGATTACAGCCAGTTCATCAGCTCTGCCCCTCTTCCCCTCCATTCCCAGGATCTGTGTTAGGGTAACCTGGGCAGCCTGCAGAGCACACAGACATTCTCTCCTGTAGACACCATTCTGCAGCCCCAAGTCACTGGCTCGTCCCCTCCCTCCACATACCTGCAATGACTGGACACAGAAATGGAAGACATCCTTCACAGACTTCATTTGCAGCTGACAGATCACACAGAATCCAACCTCACTAAGCTCAGTGAAGTAATTCTTCCTCTTCTGTGCCCAGTCATCACACATATGTGCAGGGGAGGCTAGCAGCTGTCATACAGCACACTCATTAACCAAGCTCCTTGAAGTCTCTGAAATACGGGGGACTATAGTCCTAGCATCGGAAAATGTCTGCCTCCGCCTGATACAAAAGTAAAAAAGTCTATCAATGCTTCCACCTCTTGGGGCCCCTCTGATTGAAATCATGGGGCCCAAGGAAATGTGATGGACCAGTTTTTACTTCATGCATGCTGTGTGTGTCAGGTCACAGTGGGCCCCCCTTCCTCGGGGGCCCGTGTTCTTTGCACACTCTGCACACATGGATGATATGCCACTACATCCGTCCACTGAAGGCATTTCTTCAGAACCCCCCTCCCCATAATCTGACTGTAATTTTGTAGCAAGTCAAGGCTGCAGAGGCATACATGAACCCAGCCAGGAGATCTGCAGACACCATGATTTACATGATTTTACAATGTGTAAAACATACCCAAACAAAGATGGCAGTGTCTTTGATGAGCTGCAGTCTCCTAATAGCGGTCCTTGGCTGTTCCTCCTTCCATTGAGTTTTTGGTTCTATTCAAAAGTGTTCCGGCTGTCCAATAAAGGCAAAAAGAAAAGAAAATGTGAAACCCAACTGTAGCTGTTGTCTTGTGCTATGACCCAGCACAGGTGATCCACTTTGAGGGTTACACTGCTTAATAACATATTTTTCTTTCTTATTTTGATGATTTGTTTTTTTAGCAGATATACCTCATAAGAAGAAAAACCATTGTTTTCATATATGGCAACTGACAATAAATTTGATTTGTGTGTTTGAGGGCTGCGAGTCTCATCATATTTACATTAAAACTCATGACAAAAAATAAATCTTTTATACCTATTTTAAATACATTTGGAGTTTTTCTACAAACATAGGGAATGTGTGCTTGTGGAGTGACACATAATGAAGTCAGCCATTTACGAGTCTCCAATGAATTCTTTAATATTGTATGACAGCTGCCTTCTGCCTTTGTCACCTTTCCGTGTTTTTCCACAGTTTTATCAGGTGCTACCTTTTCCTTTCTCTTAACTAGAAATTACATTTTCCAATTGTGCTGAAAAGTGTAAAATTTTAGTTGGGTAATGTCTCTTTACAGGCAAATGTTTTCTAAAATCTACCCTACCCCCGTGCATTCTGCCCCTCTCCTTTTTTTACTTACCTGGTCCATGGAGTGCAGAAATAATTTTCTTTGCCCCCTAATGTCAATGCAACTGGTATCAGGAGGAGGAGGGGCATTACAGGGCACCCTATTCTACTTCCTAATGGTGCAGGGTACCATGGAGAGCCATGCTTTGCCTTTAGTCACAAAGTGATGGAGTGGAACATATCCTGCCACTGACTAGAAATGAGCATACTACTGTGGCTGCACAGGATGACAATGCTGCAGCTATTTCATTGCCATGGAATTAACTTTAGTCTGATTAGGAATTCTATCATGTTTAAGATGTCTGAGTTTTTATTCTTGCATACAGTTCTCCTTTAGTATTGCATGTTTCTGGCTATAAACTATGGTAATGCGTTCATATCATCATATCATAAACTGCAGGATCAGTGGGGTTGCTACACTTTTTATGTAAAGTACTTGGTGTTGACAGAATTACGAGTGCAGACAGCTAATATACTCTGTTATGTGAATATATGGCAGATTGGAATGTAAATTTGTAGATTACCTCGACAATGACAGCCATCTTAAGTAATCAAAAGATTAACGTATAGGCTTCTGCCTTTTTTTTTATTTTGAGCATCAGCAATACCGAAGCCAAGTTCCCCATTTGACAACATACTAATTACAGCTGTGGACTGGAGTATGAAGGAAGAGTTCACTGGTGGATCAACCTAAAGCCTAAACCAGCCACTCAAATGAAACTGAGCTCAACCAATTCCAAATAAATCTCTAAGGAGCAACATCATGGCTTACAACTGAACTAAATTCCTGCTTTGAAATTTACAAGTAACTAGATTTTTCTATTTTTTTTTTTTTTTTTGGCAAAAGAGGCATGCAAATCATTTAGTATGCAATGTATAGTAAGGGAGAGTCCACTTCACCAAGTGCAATGTACTTCTGTTTTAAAGCCCAACTCCAACCTATACTATAGAGACAGAGCAGGTGAGAACTAGAACCTATGTCAAGTTTTTCCTGTTGTTTGTGTTCCTATTGGGGAGAGTTACCCTCACTTCCTTGCAAGCTGGGGAAATGATGGGAAATCCCTCCATGGGGACAAGGACAGGGACTGGAATAAAACACATTTTAGTGGAGTGGGAAAGGGTTAGAACTTCTGATAATCTTTTAATTGTTACGCATTGTGCACAATGATTACAAAAGAGCAACATCCTGTCATGAGTAGGCTTTAGTTTGTATTGAAAGCCTAAACCAGCCACTCAAATGAAACTGTGAGTTCAACCAATTCCAAATAAATCTCTAAGGAGTAGCATCATGGCTACTGAGGGCCATCTACTTTAAAGAAGAAAAATTATAGAGTACTTTGATACTGGACCATGCTAATCAAGGCCATCTTTATTATTGATTGGACCCTGGGCATACATTTTCTTGGGTCCTTCATGCAATTTCGCTCTCCACCTACTCTGAGACATACAATAAATAGCAGCTAGACTCAGTTTATTTAGCAGCTAAAATCAGTTTATTTAGCAGATCTGCCAGCAATTGCAATTGGTTGCCAGAGGTTAAAGCATATTATTACAGCTCGCTGACTGGTTGGTAGAGGTTACAGCACACATTACGGCTCACTGATTAGTTGCTGGAGGTTGGAGCACATGATTTCTGCTTGCTGATTGGTTGCTAGAGATTAATGCACATAATTACTGCTCCCTGCTTGGTTGCTAGAGATTACTGCACATCATTACTGGTCACTGATTAATTTCTAGAAGTTACTGCACATTATTACAGTTCACTGATTGGCTGCTAGAGTTTACTGCACATCTGTACTGATCACCCCATTGGTTGCTAGAGGTTACTGCACATCCCTACCACTCACTGATTGGCTGCTAGAGGTTACAGCAATCATCTCCTCACTGCCTGTACACCATGGACTGGGAAGGTGAAGGGACCCACTAATAGACAGAAAACTCTTAGGGATTCTAGGACTCCTGAAATCAGTGGCAGTGCTGGGGGGAGGGTGTGATCAGTGGCAGTGCTGGGGGTTTGATGGGATCAGTGGTAGTGGTGGGGAGATGGGCTCAGTGGCAGTGCTGGGGGGATGGAATCAGTGGCAGTATTTGGGGGGATGGAATCAGTGGCAGTGCTGGATGGGTATGGGAGATGACATTTCTGCATCGACCACTATTGTAAGAGGAGATTTACACTGACCACTAGTGTAAGAGCAATTCTCTACTTCCCACCATTTCACCAAGTGCAATGTACTTCTGTTTTAAAGCCCAACTCCAACCTATACTATATTGACAGAGCAGGTGAGAACTAGAACCTATGTCAAGTTTTTCCTGTTGTTTGTGTTCCTATTGGGGAGAGTTACCCTTACTTCCTTGCAAGCTGGGGAAATGACGGGAAATCCCTCCATGGGGGCAAGGACAGGGACTGGAACAAAAACACATTTTAGTGGAGTGGGGAAGGGTTAGAACTTCTGATAATCTTTTACTTATTACGCCTTCCTGCCCCTGTTATGACCTCCCCCCATTTGTTTTCTTGTAGGGAGTCAGTCCGTAGAAAAAAAAATATATTTGCACATATTTCCTGACCAGAAAAGTCAAATTCAAGAATATATAAAATACTCTTTGAGGGAGTTACAGTCTATACCAGCGGTCACTAAATGGTGGATCGCAGTCCCCGAACGGCCCCAGCAGCGCTGCTGCCCGGACTGCCAGCCCGCAGTGACAGATCTGCCGCTGAGAAGGGCAGTCTTCACAGCGACATGACATCACGTGTGCGCCCTGCCCCTTTCAGCTCACTGTCTCTCCAGCTCCTGCTCCCTGCTTGTACACAAGCGTCCAGCAAGGACCCTGGCAAGCTCCTGTCTGCCTTCATGGTAGGGTGTAATCTTACAGCGGCACTCTGATGGGCACATTTTATGTTAAGGGGAACTCTGATGGGCACATTTTATGTTAAGGGGAACTCTGATGGGCACATTTTATGTTAAGGGGCACTTTGATGAGCACATTTTATGTTAAGAGGCATGCTGATGGGCACATTTTATGTTAAGGGGCACTCTCATTTGTGCCCCCCTTAACATAAAATGGGCCATTTTATGTTAAGGGGGGCACATACTGTGGAAAAGGGCACTCTGATGGGCACATGTGATGGAAAGGGGCACTCTGATGGGTAATATGATATAAAGGGGCACTCTGATGGGGAAATATGATAGAAAGGGGTACTTTGAGTGTAAGGGGGCACTGACGGGAATACCTGATGTAAGGTGGCAATGTGATGGGGATACCTGATGTAAAGGGGCACTCTGATGGGGACAACTGATGTAAAGGAGCACTCTGATGGGCACACCTGATGTGTTGGAATACATGATGTAAAGTTGCACTCTGATGGCAACACCTAATGTAAGGGGGCACGCTGATGGGCACATCCTATTCGGACCTCGGCCAGAAGAAAACTTTAGTGACCGGACCTCCTTGAATTTTTAATCCAAACTTTTTTTTTTTTATTGAAAAATGAGGGGAAATACAGGAGCAAGGAGAAGGACAGTAGACAATCATACAAATGGGTACAAGAAAAACGTACATTATTCATATACAGCATGCACAATAGAATTACATCTTTATAGCCCATTGTTGCAGAGTTTTAAGACTACTTCAGTAAAAATGTTACAGAGCATGTAGAAGTTAAGTAGAGGAAACAAAAGTCAGAGAAGGAAAAGAAAGAAAAGAAGAACAGAACACACAACAGGAACAATAATAACAGTTGCAGGCGGGCCATCAAGTTCCATTTCAACAATCAACTAGCCGTAATGTATCAGATTTGTAAAAGTCTGTTCATTATCAATCTTAGAGGTGCCAAGCCGGGCATATCTAGCCAGTTCTGCCAGATTAGCTCAAATTTACATGGGGCATAAAGGTAACGATAGGTAATTTGTTCTCATAAAAAGAGAGAATTAACATACTCCACCCAACATTTCTTAGAAGGTATTGTACTAGACAGCCACTATCTAGCTATTAGTTTTCTTGCTAAGTACAAGAGACGAGTAATCGCGATATAGATACCTGGAGAGTACAGCTCAGGGTCCAGCACTCCCAATAGACACACTAATGGATCCGAAGGGACAGGAGTCTGGGAGAGGGAAGACACAACCCCCAGAACACCCTTTCCCATATCTTGCTTATTTTGGACATCTCCAAATCATGTGAATAAAGTCCCCTGTGTGTGCCATACACTTTGGGCACAAAGGTGTATCTCTCCTGCCCCATTCGAACAATCTGACCTCCTTGAATTTTAATTCAATACCCCTGTTCTATACAGTACAATATCTGCCAAGGCACAGGCTTTTCATATATTTTATATTTATCTGAAATTTTTGATTTATGTGGAATATTTGACATAATACGTTTGTATTTGACTTTTTTTACAATAGATTTTTGTAAAGAGGATGGGGTAAGGTTGACATGATAGTATATATTAAAGAGTTCTTGTTGACCCAATTCTCAAATTCTGGATCTCTCACTCATTGCACATTTAGAGCTACTGATGAGCAAGTCTCTTAAAAACTGCACAGTGATTTGGGCAAATATGGGTCTCCTGCTATTTCATAGCTAAGAATCCCATCACAAATGTAGCACATAAGCTGCTTGATGAAAAACATATTTTTTAACATAGTATCAGTATCAACACCACACACTAGCAGTGAGCACCACCTTAAGTGGTGGAAAAGCACCAACAACTCAACTACCTTATTTTTTCTCATTAGCTTTTCAGGATGGCATGACAGTGGTTTTTTTAATTTGCTGTTGGAAGGATAGTCAGAGACAAGAAGCAGTTCTGTGAGGGATAAGTATAGGAAAAAGGCAAAAAAGGTCTTCTACCAGAGCCTAAGTTGACTATTAGTGTTGGAGCTAGTAGTCCAGTGGCTGTTTTCTTGGGGCATCTTTACTGGTGATTAACAAATTGATTGATTGATTGTGCCATGAAATATATATACTGCTTCTGGTGGCATGAGGTGATGAAGCTGTTAAATTTCACCAATCAGCTTTAGCTCCTGCATCTTCTCAAATGTTTATCAGAAGATTTAGCTCCTGCGTCTTCTCAAAGCATGAACATAAGTATGAGCTGTGAGAGCATGAGTTGTCTGTACAAGAACTTTGTTCTAATAAATTGCACAATGCCCTGCAACTACTTCATTGCGGATTTCTTTTGTTTCTGTGGAAACCAATGATACCACAAAACTCCTAATTCACTCCATGGTAATCTCTCGACTCAACTACTGCAACTCCTTCCTCATTGGCTTACCTTTACATAGGCTATCCCCCCTCCAGTCCATCATGAATACTGCTGCCAGACTCATCCACCTTACCAACCGGACAGTGTCTGCTACCCCTCTCTGCTAATCCCTCCACTGGCTTCCACTCACTCAATAAATAAAATACTAACAACAATTTACAGAGCCATCCACAACTCTGCCCCCAGCTACATCACCAACCTGGTCTCAAAATATCAACCAAACCGCTCTCTTCAATCCTCCCAAGACCTTCTGCTCTCTAGTTCCCATGTCACCTCCTCCCATGCTCGCCTCCAGGACTTTTCCTGAGCTTCTCCCATCCTATGGAATTCTCTACCCCAATCTGTCCGGCTGTCTCCTTATCGATCCATGTTTAGACAATCCCTGAAAACCTTTCTCTTTAAAGGAGTCTATCCTGCTTCTACCTAGTAAACTTCCATTTATTTCATCCATCAGCTCATCCCCCCCACAGCTATTACCTTTTGTATCACTCAACCCTTCCTCCTAGATTGTAAGCTCTAACGAGCAGGGCCCTCTGTTTCCTCTTGTACCAAATTGTATTGTAACTGTACTGTCTACCTTCATTTTGTAAACCGCTGTGTAAACTGTTGGATCTATATAAATCCTGTATAATAATATAATAAAAAACTATTTTCTGTCTATCCAAAGGGAGTTCCCACTGTGGGTCCTGGATAGAGTATTTCTGTTCAGGAGAATAAGTAGGTTACATTTAATTATATCTGGGAGCTTAGCATCATCACAAAACCAAAGTGGTTAAAAACATAGAAATAGAGGTTCACACCAAGCGTCCCATTTTTAATTAAAGAAGGACATAGAATGGTATACGGTGTGTTATATTTTTTCCATAGGCATAATAGAGTCTAATCTATCCTTAATTTGTGTGATAGGAATATCAAAGGATTTTCAGTGAAATGCAATTACTAAATGAGTAGTTACGCAAATTATATGGATTTCGTATATAAACTATGGATGAACTTTGATGGATAAAATGACCATTGATATTTATTCTGCTGCCTATATGAGGATCTGTGAAAAACAAGTCTTTTATCATGCTAGAACAACTGCAAACAAGATATACATAGAAATGAACCATTTTGTTTAGGATCCAAGAAAGTAAGTGCGTGGAAAAGGAGTAAAAAAAATTGGTCTGTGATAAACTATAACAAACCAATCTAACCTTTATGAAAACTTGTAAAGGGGACCCCTGGAGCTCCTCTACACCTGGGTAATTCAATTTTAACCACTTGCCCTCCAGAGGATTTACCCCCCTTCCTGACTAGGCGTTACAGGGCTGCATTATTTTGACTGACCATTGTGCAGTAATGCAACGCTGCACCCAAATAAAATTTTCGTCCTTTTTTTCCCACTAATTGAGCTTTCTTTTGGTGGTATTTGATCGCCTGTGCATTTTTAATTTTTGCGCTATAAAAATAAAAGGCCAACAGTTTTGAGAAAAAAAAACTATATTTTTGACTTTTTGCTATTAAACATGTCCTGTATAAAAATTTAAAAAAATCAAATTTCATCATAAATTTAGGCCAAAATGTATTCTGCTACATGTCTTTGCTAAAAAGAATCCCAATACATGTAAATTCATTGGTTTACGTGAAAGTTGTAGTGTTTACAAATGGAGGGATATATAATGGAATATTTGTTTTTAATTATGTTTACTAGTAATTACGGTGATCAGTGACTTAAAGTGGGACTGCGGGACTGCAGAGAGCATTCTGACACTGGGGGGGAACTGACCTGGTGTCACTGACATCCCCAGTGACACCAATACAGTGATCAGTGCTAAAAAAAAAAAGCACTGACACTGTACTAATGGCACTGGGCAGGAAGAGGTTAATATGAGTGGCGATCAAAGGGTTAACTGTGTGCTGAGCGTGTTTTACTAGGGGACGATGTCAGTGTGCTTCACTGTAATCGCACTTCTTTGGATGGCTGTGCTGTACACAAATCAACCCCACTGTTTACTGCAGGCACATTGCCATTCTTCTTCAGATCTTCTCCAATGGTGGAGAACTTTCTGCATTGAATGTGAGTGCAGAGTGCCTGGGAACATCTCCTCGAGGGTGGGTCCATGATGTTCTGCACTCACAGGATGTCCTTAGTCAGCTTCTTTCAACCCAAAAGACTGGGGACATCTAGTGGCTGAAGGGAATTACTGCAGGCACATTGCCAGGGAGGATGTGTGTATGCACCCAGAGCTGCTTTTTTTTATTTTAGACAGCTGCTGGGAACCACTTTTTTATTTTGTCTGGAGATATGCTTTAAAGCAAAACTCCAGGTTAAGTGAAAAAAAATTACCCCATGCACACTGCGAGGGTTAAATGCCCCTTCTGTCTATGGGTATAAGCATAATTGTTGGAATAAGCAGCAATTCCTACATATTTTCTTGCCCCCCCACCACCAAGCAGCTGATGCGCACTTCCTCTCTCCAACATTCTGGGATGTTAGTGGGCCTATGCCACTCTCACATATAATGCAGGAATAATGGTAACAAACTGTATATGATGATGTTAGAGTGCTTGCGGCACATGGAGCATGGAGGGAAATGGCTTTGTGGTACCAGCTGACCAGCTGCCCTCTCCTGTTTTAGTTAGTCAACCCCACTGTTTCTTCTTCTCCCTTCTCCTTCCTCCTTCTTCCTCCTTCCTCCTTTCTCCTTTCTCCTTCTTCTTCCTACTTCTCCTTTCTCTATCTTCTTCCTACTTCTCCTTCTTCTTCCTACTTCTTCTTTCTCCTTCTTCTCCTTCTTTTTCCACATTTTCTTGCCTCCCCCACCAAGCAGCTGGTGCTCACTTCCTCTCTCCAACATTCTGGGATGTTAGTGGGCCTATGCCACTCTCACATATAATGCAGGACTAATGGTAACAAACTGTATATGATGATGTTAGAGTGCTTGCGAAACATGGAGCATGGAGGGAAATGGCTTTGTGGGACCAGCTGTAAAGCCTTGTGGAAACCTAAGAGAGTGTGGAATAAGGTAAGTATAGCTGCTTTTTCTTCTGCTCTTAGACAAAGAAATAGTTTACTGTTGTGTTGTGAAGGGGGGGGGGGGGGAGGGTTGTGATGGGGCTCACTGCAAGGGTCAAATTTTCACTTCAGCTTTAAAGCCAATAAATGAAAATGTGCACACCTAGATATGAAATGGTAGATATGTTTTTTAGTTTAATTGTTGTTCTATACTGATTTACTCACTTTACTGAGCTTTAGAAATAGTGGGTACAATAAGGTACATAGGTAATTATATTA